ATGGTTCACACCAACAAAATATTTTTCTCTGGCCAAATTTTCATACAAAACTGAGGTAGGTAGACTGCTGCTGCATTTTAACAACATTCATAAGAAAATGAATTTCACAAAGGATCACTTTACCACAGGAAGCAATGGAGGGCCATTATCCTCTGGGACAGGTATGAGAGCATCAGGTTTTTCAGGGAGCCTTTAGGATAAAAACATGCAATAATGGGTGGATTTGGTCCTTTGACCGACTCTATTGAAAGATTGCATATTAAGCAGCATTTTTGTATTACGTATTTCAACATACACCCGAATTTTACAGTTTTGTGTTGCTTTTGTGAATTTCAACTTAACTCAATCTATAAAACATTCAGTGAAGACTCACTTAGTTCTATTTAAAAATCAAAATCTAAACAGTCAGTGGCCTGGTAGAGGCCTCAGTCAATAAGAGTGCTTGATGCCCACACACAACAAACTGAGTTTGAATGATCATCAACCGCATAAAAAGCTGGGCATGGACACATGCACTTGTAACCCAGTCTTTGGGTGGAAGAGACAGGGTATCATTTGGGCTTGTTGGCTGCTAGAGCTGCTCCAGGTTCAGTCAGAGACCTTATGTCAAGTGGGTAAGTGAGAGAATGACGCAAGAAGCCAATATCCTCCTCTTCTCTTCATGTCTGCACACAGACATATGCAAAATGTACAACATACAATACACACACATCTAGAAACACTAGAGGGAGGATGGTAGTTTTTCCACACACTTTTTTCTGATGGTTGAAGTAACTGATGACTTTCTTGTTGTTGCTCAAAGCACTTAAAGCTCTTATTTCATTCTTCTTCCTCTACCCCTAAAGCACCATGGCCCCTTCTCTGTGAAGAAACTTTTTAGGCATTTTAGGCATATCATTGTGTGTCATGCTCTCTCCAAAGAAATTGGTTTGGTAGATCGTGAAGTATACTCTATCTTCAAGCACCCAGCTACCAACCTGTTGAGAGGTCACCACATTTTTGGTGATTTGATTTGCTTTTTGATAGTCCGTTCAAAAGTTATGAAACTGTCACAGGACTATTTTTATATTCTACAAGTGTTCTGTTTAATGCTTAGTCTTTCTGAGGCAGTGGAGATTAACACTGTCCCCTCAGCTCTACTCCATCCAAACTACACTGATGATCTCCACGTTTTAGGGCTTATGGTTTATAAGTTCTGGGGCAACCACTTTTTTTTTCCTACCTGACACGTCCCTTGGGCTTCACCCCAGTTGTGGAACTCACTGAGGGGACTATTAACCTTCTGTACAGAAGCATATCAATAAGGCCACTCTGAGGCGATCTTCAGCAAAGCCTGGGAGAGTCTTGAACCTTGTCCATTTAATCACATTCTCTCCAGCAGACAGCTCACCCAAATGTAACAGTGAACCAAGTTAATGCCCTGCAAACTAATATTGTTACACATATGTGCATGGCATGTGATGTGCAGTGTATTTGTATGTATGTGTGATTTCCGGTACATACATGCCAGTGTGCTGGTGTGGTGACTGGAATACACACATGAGGGTTGACACTCACCTTCAATCTTATTTTTGTGGCTGGGTCTCTCATTACAAATCCAAACCCCAGGCTATTTATTCATGAAACTTCAGGGGATTCTCTGTCTCCACCTCCAATCTCACCATGAGCTCCCCAGGATTATAGATGCACACAAGACCATCAAGCCTCATGTGGATTCTGGGCATCCAAACTCCCATTCTCACATATGCACAGTAAGCACCTTATCCACTGAATCATTTCCCTAGCCATGGCTTATTAACAGCATTTCATACTGTATCAGAGGTATAATCAGTCATTTCAGTATTGTGTGCTCCACAAATAATTATTCAGCTTTGATTAACAAAAAAATAAAGAAGCTGAAATTCTCTTACGCAGAGGAAAACATGGTTACAGTTTCTGAATTTTATATTCTCTAATTACCCAGTGTATTTTAAAATGCAGACTCTCTTACCACAGTG